TGTGCCACCACCACAGTCCAGTGCACACCCCGCCCCCCCATTTTCGATCCCATCCCCCACTTCCCCCCGTAAAACGTCTCTGGTATATAGTTGTTCATTATTGTTATTATTATTTCCCCCCGGTTCGTTATGCTCCTGCTGTGAGTGAAACCACCCGGCATTTTCCTCTTCTTTCTGGCTCATTGCACGGAGCATGACCCCTTCCAGCTCCATCCATGCTGCTGCAAAGGCAGGAGTTTGTCCTTTTGATGGCTGAGTAATATTCCGCCGTGTATACAGACCACAGCTTTTAATCCAGTCATCTACTACGGGCATTTGGGCTGATTCCATGTCTTTCCTATTGTAAATAAAGCAGCAATAAACATGGGGGTGCAGGTGTCTTTTTGAAACCATGTTTTTATGTCTTTGGGTAGATGCCTAGGAGTGGGATGGCTGGGTCGTAGGGAAGCTCCATGTTTAGCAGTGTGAGGAACCTCCAGACAGTTTTCCATAGTGGTTGTACTAGTTTGCATTCCCACCAGCGGTGCAGGAGAGTTCCTTTTCCTCCACATCCTCGCCAACATTTGTTGTTGCTGGTTGTTTGAAGATGTGCCGTTCTCACTGGGTGAGGTGGTATCTCACTGTGGTTTTAATTTGCATCTCCCTTATGACGAGTGATGCTGAACATTTTTTCATATGCCTGTTGGCCATCTGCATTTCCTCTTTGGAGAAGTGTCTTTTAGCTCTTCTGCCCATGTTTTGATGGGGTTGTTTATTTTTGTTGAGTTTCATCAGTTCTTTGTAGATCTTTGTGATCAGTCCTTTATCGCTAGTTCTGTGTGAGAAATGTTTTCCCGATCAGTGGGCTGTCTGTTTTCTGCAATGTCTCTTTCGCTGTACAGAAGCTCTTTAACTTGACGTCGTCGCACCTATTTATCTTTGCCTTCACTATTGTGGCGTTGGGTGCTCTGTCTTTAAAGATGTCGCTGAAGTGCATGTCGTGTAGCGTTTGGTCCATCTTTGCTTCCAGGTATTTTATGGTTTCCCTCTTATGTCTGGGTTTTCATTCCACTTCGAGTTGGCCACCCACCCCTGCATTGCCCCCACCCCTGTCTCCCACCCCTGGCCCCCCTCACCCCTGCGTCCCCCCTTCATGAGTGTGGCTCAGTGGGGCTCCCCGAGGCCTCAAGCCTGCCTGGCCGCTGCCTGGCCGCTGCCTGGCCGCTGCGAGCTGTCGGAGGAGCTGGCGGCTGCTTCCCCGCTGCCAGCGCTGCCACCTCTGCCCGCCGCTGGGCACCTCACCGGCCCGGCCACTCTCCCCCAGTGCAGTGCTGCAGGACAGGGCGAGCTGGGCGGTCAGAGCCCAGCCCAGGCCCAGCCAGGGCTGCTGCGCAGGGCCAGAGGGAGCGGCCGGGGCTTTCAGGCTGCAGTACAGGCGCCTCCCTGTTCCCTCTCCGGCCTCTGCCGCCCTCCCGCTCCCTCCTGCTGCCCCTCCCACCCCCTCCCTGCTTCCCGAGCCAGGGAGAGGGTGGCCGTGACCCGAGGCCCGGGGTGTGACTGGCTGCCAGCTGTCCTGACCGTCTCAGGCCCCTCGTGCTGGCCACAGGATGCTCAGGGAAGGGCCCCTTGTTACCCGCTGGAGGCCGCAGTGAGGAAGGGCTGTGGGCGTGGGGAGGGCGGACCTGCGTCCTTTCAGAAGTCCACGCCTGGGTGGCCCAGGATGCAGACAGCGGCACAGGGGCCCCTGGGGAGGACAGAGGAGCAGAATTCGCTGACCCCACAGGTCCAGCAGGAGACCTTCTCTACTGGACACTCCTGGGCAGCAGCACCTCACCCTCAGAGCAGCCCCCGTGTGATGCCACCCTGAGCTCCTGGCCCCCCTGTGCCGCCCCGAGCGCCTGCCCTGCTGTCCATCAAAGCTGGCCCCCGGCCCCCACCCAAGCCCCCCAGTGAGCAGGGTCTCCCCAGGGCCTCAGGCCGGGGTCCCTGCACCTGCCGGGCGAGCAGACACCTGGCCACCCACCGGGGCAGCACCGAGGTGCTTTGGCCCAGGAGGGTGCGTGGGAGCCAGGCTTTGACTCCCCTTGCTGAAGCCCCTCAGCCAGGGTTCAGGTGACACCCCTCTGTCAATAAAGAGGCGGGCCCCGCACTGGGGGGCTCCTGCACCCCATAGTTGCTCCACACTCCATTTCTCTCCTCGCTGGTGTTGACGCAACACCAGTTCCTGGCGTCAGGGTGTCCTGCTTGGAGCTTCATCGGGCAGCCTGCCAGGGAGCTCCTGTAGCTACAGGGCCTGGACCCTGCGGTGGGAGGCTGGGGCGGGCGCCCTGGAGGGGCGGGGCTGCCCAGTAGGGGCTGCTTGGGTGGTCCCGGGGATCCTCCTGCCCCTCTCTGCGACACGTGGCTCTGTCCCTCCGGGCGGGCGCGGGGCCTTGAGCCCCCCTGAGGGCCCCAAGCGCCGCCCCCAGCCCTGGCCCTGGCCCCTCTCCCTGGACCTTCCCGTCAGGTCAAGGCTGTGACGGGCCAGCGGTCACTCTCCGAGACACGCCCTGCCCGGCGCCCAGCAAGGCCTTCCCCCCTAGCCCCGACCTAGCTCTGGGTCTGTGGCCAGTCAGCTGCGCTGCCCTTCAGGGAAGCGCCTGGCGGGGCGGCAGTGACCACAGTCACCCCCCTGAGGGAAGCGGGGTGCACCTCTGGCACCCGCTATGGCCGGTCCCTCCACAGTGCGCCCCGTTTGCCGGCCCCGCCTGGGCCGTGCTCAGACAGCCCATAGGGAGCACAGGGTGGCTGCTCCCCCCAGCCTGGGCCCTCACGACCCCCAGTGGGGCACGGGAAACTGCCCCGGGAGACCCTGCCCAGGTCCGAGCCCTGCCGCCCACAGCTGCCCGAGCCTGCCACCCTGGGGCTCCCCTCCACCCTCAGCCACCCCAGCCCCCTGCCCCGAAGCTGTCTCCAGCCCTCAGAGCCACCTGCACCCCAAGGGGTCAGGACCCCACCCTGCTCCCCTGCAGGGGCCCAGCCCACTGGCCAGGGTCAGCACAGCCCCAGGCGGTAGGAGCACACCCAGCCCTCCCCCTCCCCTCCCCCCCCCGCCCAAGGCGCCGCCTCCATCAGACCCAAATCAAGGGTGGCAGTGGGCATGGCTGCAGGAAGCTGGGGTGGGGGCCGGGGGCTGGGCCGGCGGGGCCCCCACACGCCAAACCCAGGCCGGAGGATCTACTTAAGGCACGGCGCTGCCACTGACGGGCGCCCAGTCACCGCCAGGATGAAGGCCGCTGTCCTGCTGCTGGCCCTGCTGTGCCAGGAAGGAGGTGAGGGTCTCCTGGGGGCAGGGCGCCCCTCCCGCTCCACCCCTCCCGCCTCGCTGGCCTCCGCCAGGGGCCCTCCCCGTCCACCCCTGCCCGGCCCAGAATCACCCTGGCTCTGGCCGGGCGACTCCCAACCTGATGCTGACCTTCCCCGCCCAGCCCAGGCCCTGCAGTGCCACATATGCCAGAAAACCTCCGCAACCTACGGCGACAGCTGCTACGGTGCAGCGCAGTGCCCCGGGGGGGCCCAGGCCTGCACCTCCGTGAAGGAGTGTGAGTGCCCTGCGGGCCCATGCCCGCCACGCCCGGCCCCGGGAGCAGGGGGGGAGCTGGGTGGGCCGCTGGGCTGCCCCCCGGGAGGGTGGAAGCAAGTGAGCCAAGAACCCACCTAGCCACCCCCACCCTGCCGGGGGGTGTGGCTCCAGCCGGGGCATCAGGTGCCCGCAGTGAGGGGCGGGGGGCCGGTCCTGGAGTCGGGGCTCCAGGGTGCATGGGACTCCCCTGACACGCCCCCGCCCCCCGTGACAGATGGCCGAACAGCTACTAAACAGTACTCCTTCGTCACCAAGAACTGCATCAATAACTGCTCGGGGGGGCTTCAGCCCCACGTGAAAACCGTGGCCACAGGCTTCAGCTTTCAGCTAGACGTCCACTGCTGCACCACCGACCTGTGCAACGGGGCGGGGCGCCTGGGCCCCGGGGCCGCCTCTGTGGGCCTGCTGCTGCTGCCCAGTGTCCTGCTCGTCCTCCTCGGGGCCTTCCTGTGACCAGTGGTGGACAGAAGGCCTAGGGGCCCACGCCCGCCCCCTCAGCACCCTGAAGCCCAGGCCGGGGCAGCCGAGTCCCACGTCCCAGGCCTCACCTGCTGCGCCCAAGCCTGCGTGCCAGCAGGCAGGCGCGACCCCGGGAAGATCCTCAGGCTTCTGGCCGGCCCTCCGCGGCCTCCCTGGAAGGACGAGTCTGGCTCCAGCGGCCCTGCCCCTGCCTGCCCCTCTGGCCACATGCTCCGGGGCCTCTGAAATAAAGCCTGTGCGTGCTGAGTCCCGCCTGGGCTCTGCCTGGGGGACCCCAGCCCTGGGGCGCGTGGTGTGGGCACCCTTAAGGTCTCTGGGCACCATCTCCGTGCCCAGTGGGGCCACGAGCCAAACCCCCGCGTCCTGACCGGGAGCCTGCACTGCGGGGCAGGGGCGGGGCTGGGACAGGCAAGGCCCAGGGCCAAGTGTGGGCTCCTGGGCAGCAGGTGCCAGCGCCGCCCTCCTGGGACCGGACATAGTCCCTGGACCAGAGAGAGACGCGTGGGCCCCCTGCGCCCGCCGCCACGCGATCCCACAGCCGACCCGCTGTGCCCACGAGCCCCACCGACCC